AAGCAGCTGACCAGCCCAAATGAGAAGAGCTGCGTTATGTCCTGCACCCAACAAACTCCCAGGCCACAAGGGGATGCTTCCTCCTACCCTGCCTTCCTTCTCATATCTGTCTGGAACACAAGTCATTCTAAATAGTTACAGGCGAGTGAAACCATAAAATCAGAGCAATGTTCTACAAAAAGGCAACAATATTTAGGTAAATCATTTAACAATAAGCGCTGTAATGCAAGTATTTTTCTATAATGCTCCTTTCTCTGTCTACAGCTACACTGTGCATGAGCACAAGCAAAATTAAAGTAAAAAGCCAGGCGTTTGACAGAGGTGATGTGTTTTTAACCATTTTCATTGTTGCAAGTAAACATGGGAGCAATAATAATTCTCACTAGCTCACTCATTTTTGAAAGTGACATTCTTCCCAGCAACATGGTAATGCTCTAACCCAGAACTTTTTAAAAATTGAAAACACATACTGTGTATTATATAAAATATATTACAAAATAAAGCACAGAGACATTTTAATCAACTCAATACTCCAGTGAAGTCCAGACAGTCAAATAAATAACGGGAAGGAGAGCATTCCTCTATCTAAATTCATTTTAGTCCCAGAACTACAGACAACATGACACAGCACAGATGTACCTACGTCTCTCAGGGACAGACAAACATCATTTAAGCCTAACACTCAGGGTCACCACAATGGGTGGTGAAATCAACTGGGATTTTTCCTACTGATGTCAAAACTGACTGTGCCTCAAGAGTCGGTCAGTGATAGCAGTTTGTGCGCTGAGGCCCTGCTGCAGGTGACTGTCACAGAGTTAACAGAATTACTTAGCTTAGAGCAGAGCACCTGATCAAGTGCCAGATTAGAACCAAAACACACACCTGCTGTGGTGAAGTCCTGAACCTCGGTATTCACGCCAAGGTTCACAAGTCAGGAGCGTCATTCCTCAACTTCTTAAACTACGATTGTCTAGTTGCTGTACTTTGAAACATAATTTTACAGATTGAGGGCATTCAGGCATTACCTTCTCTCAGGAAATTTCAAGGGAAAATAAATTTTCTCTCCCTGCAAGTAAACAGTGTTTTTCACTGAGGCACAAAAGACAACCCAGGTAACTACTAGCCCCCCAGTATCACTTGCACTGCAGGCTCTGCATCTGTAGCACAAACTTTCTAAGCAACCCTGCTCACACCACACAGACTAGTTTTATGATCCAAAACTGCTTTCCTCCAGCCCTGACAACAGTAAAAACTTGTGTTTGTCAGAAAACCAAGCACGTGGGATTTACCACATAAAGAACAAGTTTAAAGAAATAACCAGTGTTAACTTCACAGTTAAAACTTCCCATTGTACTTATTTTAAGAAATGTAAGTGGCCTCAGTTTCAAAGTACTCCAAAGTGATAGTGCAGAAACAGGTATGTACATATGCATGTGTACACGTGTTTTTTTAAGCAGTATATTACAATAAAACATATGTTCTTTTGAAAAGGCAAAAAAGGTATCAGCTGGTTCTGAGTGTGATACTCCTCATTTCTTCAACACACAGTAAGCAGGTGGCTGCACCACTGTGCTGCTTCTATTTCTCACCAACCCACACCAAACTGTGCAGTAAGTATTATGCTGCACAAGAGGAACAGTTAATCTCTTCCTAAAGACATGTGAATATTTTATGAATGACCTTTCATTAAACTTTAAATTCCAAATTACCAAGGTCACTGTTGCTCACAAAAGAGGTAATCAAAGTTTTAAAGTCCTTGCTGTTAAAGATTTCCTTCTGCAAATCAGTAACTTCAGGAACTCTAAAGATTTTGTTCCTTACAATAAAATTTTACTGAATGAATGTCAACCTGTTCAAATTACAACTTTTAGAGAAACTATGAGTAACAAGAAGGATGTGTCTGGAAATCTCTAGTCTTGTGTATGACTTCTTTATTCATGTTTAAGAAGGCATCTGAACATTTAGGCAGCCTGATGAAATCTTAAAGTGATTAAGTTTCAAAGACGGGCCTTTGTGACCTTTATGAATTCCCAGGAATATTATCCATGACCAAAACCGAAAATATACCAATCGCATCCTGTATCACAGAGCATTTCAGCATCTCTCTTCAACATTTTAGTATTTTGAGTAAGTTCTAATGCCTCCTCATAAATAAGAGAAATCCAAATGGTTTTGGTCTAATTTCACCACCACCAAAGAACCCAATCAAGAGAAACTAGTTACGACGCTGTCATTAAACACACATTAAAGTTGAGAAGGTGAACCTTAACTATGGTTAAGGGTCTCTGAAATGCCACTGTCTGCACATATGTGCAGACCTATTGCAAATAAACCCCATGGTATTTGTGGTATTTGAAGTCCCCTGTAAGTCATTAAGTAAGCAAAACTTAGGTCTACATAAAGTGGAACCTTTTGCGTACACTCCCACTTACAGGGGAAGCCAGCTCCCAGCACAAGGAGTATCAGATTCTCGCAGCATCCATGACACTTGTAAGCATTCAGTGGTCAGAACACCACTACATATCCTTCAAATGACATGGACCACTGAAGCTGGAAGGTATCTTCACTGAACCAAGCCGGCTGGTATCTCAGCAATCCACCAGGACACAAGCCCCGGCATTCCTCCGCCTCAAATGCAGCACCTCGACCAAGGAGGAAGTGGTGGGTTTTGCATTTTTGAAAGTCAACAGTTTTGAATATTGAAATGCAAAGGGTATGCACCAGCTACAACAGTGGCGTCTCAAAAACAGTTTGCACTGCAAAATGCTGGTATTTATTTCTTACTGTAAGGTTATGAGTGAGAACTGGTTAGACAGCAAGGTGATAAGCACAACAAAACACTAATAGAGCGAGCTAGCCAGTGATAATGAAAGAAGGCACAGCATTTCCAAAGTTAAAGCATCAGGGTACCAATTATATGAAGATATAAAGAATCCTCTGCATTAATGCTAACAGAGCATATTATCTAAAATATTTAATAACATCCTAGTTTTTCTAGCTGCTGTTAAGTCATTAATAATATCCACCTATTAGTTAAAAAGCTGAATAATACAAAGTGGGCTTTGATTTCTGCGTTACTGTGCCACTGTATAATACCAATGGAAAATGGTATTATCTTTCTATTCATTGAATGAAATGAAGTATAAACGTTATTTTAAAAGGAGAAAAATAAATACCCCCTTCATTTCGGGTATATTTACTGCTCATTAAACTACATGCTGTGCTTTCACTTCCTAACACCAACCTCATATTGTCAATCTTTGACACCATGATTTATTAAATGAAAATAACTGACATGTCATAGACGTAAGGGCTACGAAGTCACAAGTTTCCATGCACAATACGGACGTATTGTCCAAACACCAAACACTGGGATGTGCACAGATAACGGAGTTACTGATGAATATAATTAATTAGATTTAGAGCTCGGATATTACAGTTTAAAACACCCTGAGGATGCAACTCCTTGTTAGGAGTAACACTGTGGGGGGAAATACAATAAACAAACGTGGCCTACAACAAATACCACAACAGGTTTCCCCACGCACGGTGACACCTCACATTCACACGAGCCCCGCGGGCCGGGCACGATGGCTGAGGGCGCCGCCACCGCCGCAGGCGCGACAGGAGGCCGGGAAGCGGGGCGGGTACTGCCGCCTCCCAGGAGGCCTCCCGCCCCTCAACGCTGCCCGGCGCCGCGCTGCCTGCCCCTGCCCTGGCCGGCTCTCCCGCCGCTCCGGAGGGCCGGCGACCGCCACCCCCCGGCCGCAGCGGCCCCGCCGGGCCGAGGGGAAGCGACGAAAAGTTTGGCGGCACCGGGGGCGGGTGGGTCGGCTCGTCCCCGCCGCCGCCCTTTAGCCGGTTCCCGGCCCGGTCGCAGCCTCCGCGCCGCCCCCCGCCCCACCGGCGGGCGCCCGGCCCGGCCCTCGCGCGGTCCCTGCCAGCCACCGGCCCGCTCCCGCGGGGTCTCCCGCACTCCCCCGCAGCCAGAAGCCGCCGAGGGGCGTTCGTGAGGGAAGACCCCCTCCCCCTCCCCCCAGTCTTCCCGGCGCCCCCCTCACCTGCTGGCCAGGCTCTGCCGGCAGTGCTGCCTGAAGGGCATCAGATGATAGTTCATGGCGTCCAGCAGCAGCTTCTGGCACACGGGGTCGGTGCGCATGAAATCCACCGACTGGACCCGCTCCACCAGCTCAGGAGCCGGGATGAGGGCGAAGCGGAGGCGCTTCATGAGGTCCGGGGCGTACTGCATGCGGGTCTCCCGGTCGTGCTCCAGCCAGAGCACGGACATCTGAAAGAGCGCCAGCTCCGACTCGACGGGGGGGGGCAGCGAGTCAAGCAGGGCGCGCATCTCCTCGAAGTTGAGCAGCAGCACGTCCTCCACCAAGTACTTGTTGGCCAGCTTTTTGGTCTCCTCCAGGCCGTGCAGGGCGGCAATCTTGCACACCTGCTTGTAGTTCTGCACCGAGATCTGGTCGTTGAGGAACTGCACGCACAGCTTGGTGACCTGGGGGATGTGCAGGATCTTGCTCACAGACAGCACCTCCTCCACCGTGTCCAGCGAGAGGGTCACGTTGGCCGTGTACAGGTACTCCAGCACCAGCCGCAGCCCGATGGACGAGCAGCCCTGCAGCACCAGGTTGTTGATGGCCCGCGGACTGGCCAGCAGCTTGTCCTCCGGGGAGGAGGATGGGGTGCCAGGCTCCTCCTGCGGCTGCGGCGGCGGCGGCGGCTCCTTCGGCGGTCCCCCGAGCCCGTCCTGGGCGCCGGGCCCTAGCCCCAGGGCGTGGGGGTGCCCGCCGCTCCCACCGCCGCTGGAGAAGAGGGATCGGAAGTACTGGGAGCAGGAGGCCAGCACGGCCTTGTGGCAGTGGAACTGCTGGCCCTGGGCCGTCAGGGTCACGTCGCAGAAGAGCTGCTTCCTCCACAGCAGGTTGAGGCCGTGCAGCAGGTTGTCGCTGTGGCTGGGGTCGAAGGTGGACGTCCTATCACCGGATCTGGACATGGCGAGCGGCCGCCGGCACACCTGCCTTTTAAACCCTCCTCCAACCTGGGCAGAGGGGTGGGGAGGAGAGCGGGGTGGGGGGACACACGGGACGACACAGTAATAAACACAAGAGCTTTAGAGGCCCGGAGGGCGCATCCTGCCGTGCGCGCACGGGTGGCGGGGGGATGCTGCCGAGGACGGGCTCCCCTCCGCCTGCCGAGCCGCCCCCCGCCCCGGGCAAGGACGGGCTCGTCCGGAGGGGCCGCAACTTGGGAGGGCTGAAGGAGGTTTATTTTTTGCCCCCCTCCCCCCCATACACACACCACCCCTTTCTCCTCCCTCCTCGGTGCAAACCGGGCTGCTCTCCAGGGGAGGAGCAAGGAAGCCGGGGACGTTCTCAAAGCTGAGCCACCTCTCCCACGCGACCAAAAAAAAAACCTCGACCCCACCAAGCACCCAAGCGATCAAACACACACAAAATAAGCCCTCCAAACTCCGCGATGCCAAGAGAAACTACCAAGTGACTGAAACTGCCGGGAAGGCAGCAACCAGCCCCGCCGCCTGCCCCCGGCCCCCTCCGCCCGCTTTGCCAACTCAGCGCCGCCGGGACCCGCTTCCTCTCCGGGGCCGGAGGGCTGCGTTCCCGTGGCGGGGGCCCCGGTGCTGCCAGGTCCTGGAGTTGAGCCCCACTCCCACCGCGGGGCTTTGCAATACTTCGTACACTGGGGCAAGTGGGGGGTGGAGTGGGAGCGGCAGCCCCGGGCCCGGCGAGGGGCTGCCCGCCACTGTCCTGCCCGGCTCGCTTCTCCTCGCAGCAGACGGCGCCGCTGCTGGAACTCCGGTAACTACGTGAAGTTCAAGTTGGGGGAAGGACGGGGAGGCGGGCAGGGAGCAGGGCCCTGCCCGGCGGCCCCTTGGAGTGACCGGGCCCCGCCGCGACCCCCGACCCCGTGCCCGTCCCGGGAAAGGGGGGTCAGCGAGGCGGCCCCGAGCTGCGGCCGCACCTGCGGGGTCTGCGCAACCACCGACCCGCGCTGGCCGCATCCCGCGCAGCGCCGCCGCCGCTGTTCTTCCTCCTCCTCCTCCTCAGCGGGATCCCGCCGAGACCTGCTCCTGCCATTGCAACGCGCTCAGTCGCTCCTTAGCAGCGCTGGGCTTCCTCTGCCTCCCTTCACCCCCGCCTCGCCCCATTTATCGGCACAGCGAGGGGCTCCCTCCAGCCGCTTCCCCTGCCCCGCCGCCGCTCAGCCCCGCTCCGCGCCCCGCCGCCGGCTACAGAAACCTCCCGGAGCCTCTCCCTTTAAGTGGACCCGTCAATCCCCCCCCTCCCCACCGCACACACACACACATACATACATGCACACACACAGAGACATACACACACACACTCCTCCTCTTTCTCCCTCCCCTTCTTTCTTCCTCGTTTTGCCCATTTCTTGCAATCGGAGTTTATTCTGCAAACGCGTTCGTTACACAACTGCCCCCCCTTCACCCGCACACACTTCCAGCACACACACCGGCACACACAGGCACCCCTTTCCCCCAACAACAAACAAATCAGGAGACACGAGAAAATGCACAGAGACGGTTAGACACAAGGCCAGAAACTTACCTGCTCCACAACCAGCTGCCAAAGTAAAGGTTCACTTAAGCTCCCCCCAAAAAAAATCAATTGTCCTTCCTTTTTAAAGGTTTGCTCGCTCCTTCCGAAAAAAAAAAAAAAAGAGAAAAGAAATAAAGAAAAAAAAACACCAAAAACCTTCTGGTTCCCAACTCGGAGCAGTCACTCTTTACAATTTATTTTGTCGTACATCATTTGATCACCATGAATTAGCAACAGCAAGAAAATGTACGAGAGAGAGAGAAGGGGAGAGAGAGAAAGAGGGAGAGAGAGAGCGCAGAGCTTTCTGCAAGAGAAGAAGAAGAAAAAATGTACGTGTGACAAATTATGCTACCAAGAAACAACACATCATTATCCTTGGGCCTGGGGCTCAGTGAGTCGTAACGAGAGTAATAGGAAATCCACGGTTGGGGAGAGAAACGGTCGTGCATGGCCAGTGGAGAGAGACCATACAGGGGGATGGATGCTGGAGAGACTCGCAAAATTATGGCTCAAGGCTATTGTAAAAATTGTCGAGCGTAAATGACTGCGATTTCAAACATCTTTGGAAGAAAGAAGGGGAAAAAGCGAGCCCCCCCCCCCCCGCCTCCCTCCCTCTTGCTCTCCCTCTCTCTTCTCTCTCTCTATAAAGAACCGTCAAGTTTTAGTGCGCATTGCTAATTAGTCAATTTCTCTCTGCCTTCACAGGCTGGCGACTTTGCTGCTGAGCTGAAACTGCTAATTTCTGTGACCAGCTTTTTTCTTAGCTGTGATCTGGATGAATGAGTAGCTGTCTCACAGAGATGACAAAAATAAACTCTAATCCCCCCAAAAATTTCCACTACATCTTTCTCATGCATAGATTTATGATCTTCAAGCGCCTTGTGCAATATGCAAACTTTTTGTCTGCGAGTGTGTGTGTGCTGGGGGGGGGGGGGGGGGAGGGGGTAAGTCTGTTATATTCAGGTTTCACAGTATCTGGTTTGTGTCTCTACTCTCCCCCCACACCCCAAATGTGGTGAAAATAATGTCTGATTTCAGCACCCAGTATCATCACATACACCCCCTCGCCCCCACCCTTTGTATTTATATTATTGCTGTGACAGGATGCATCTCCTTTCCTTGCAAGTATGATGAGGCTGGAGGGGTGGAAGGGAGAGAAAGAAAGTGAGGCTACTAAATGGTGTTAGTGGTAAAACGTTCCCTTTACATTTGTTCCCCTGCACTGTTGAAGATTTATGATCTTGTTTGAAGGCATATTTTCTCTATCGTTTTGTCTGGTTAGACAACCGTCTCTGAACTTCACTGTCAGCTCTTCAACAGATAAGGGTTCAGAAGTCACTTTTTTTTTTTTATTGGAAGATTAGCATATTGTCAGATTTGTCTTTCAGTTTCAAGACTTTGTAATGCAGAAGCCTGAATCAAATGGCAGGAAAGCAGCTGCTATTTCACAAATGTAACCTTTCAACTTTCTGCCAGAGCTGATACCCTAGAAACGTGCACAGCACAGCCCATAGGTTGGGGCTTTGTTTTGTTTTTTGATCCTTTATAGTTGTAAGAAACAGAGGAAATTCTCATTGTAGACATTTGGGGCTTTTTCATTCCACCAAGGGGCATTTTGGTAGAGGACATGTTCTCCACACTTTATCTCATGATATATTGCACCCTCACATTTACAGCGCTGTTCGTCTGTTGTCAAACCTCCAATTGTCAAAAAAAAAAAGAAAAAAACAGAAAAAAAAAAAAGGTGGAATGTATGCCCTTGAATGAAATGCACATGAAAGGAGACAGGTGAGCACTTACAGGAAGTTTTATCTGGTGTAAAAGACTCAAGCCCCATCCCCTTTCCCAGATAATACTCAGGTCCTTGCTAATTAAACTGCACACCAGGAGTGGGACTTTGAATGCCAAGTCTCATGGTCTTTCTCTTTGACTTGGCCAAGGATGGCAATGAGGTTCCAGAGCTGGAATTGCTCAGGAATGCATAGGACTGGAACTGAAAGTCATCAAGGCAATTTTTGCTTTTATTTACTTTCTGGTGACCTTACAAAAGGTGTCCTGCCATACCTTTCTGGTTTTCCTCACCAAATAGCTCCCTTCCTCCTCCCTTGGACATCAGTTATTTCTGCAAGACATTTTCAAGGGAGATTAGGCAGCTGGTGTTTCAGGGTGTGGTATTCTTCCCAAAAGAATGACACCATCATATGCTGCCTCGCAAACCATGTTCTCTGTTTTGACCCTGCTGTGCCTCCCCTTCTTTCCCAGTTGTACCCTGTTGGCCACTCAGATTTTGACCCCGTTCAGGTTAAGAAAAACATGGATTATTATATGCTCCTATTTCAACAGTAGTTGGTATCTTCAGTGATGCGAGTTGTCTCTCAACCACAGTAGATGGAAAGAACAGTTTTTATATCATGCTTGTGCTGCTGAACTTTACTGCTGTAATGGTTGTAAATAATCCTCATGAGGTTTTGTATCAGTTTTCACTGACTGATGTGTCACATACTCTTACACCCTTGTAAGCTGCCAAAATATGTCTGTGCCAATGTGTAGCAAGTTTCTGGAACTAGCATACTGGTTTGTTTTCCTCATTAGTGAAAAGATCTGGGTAATTTTCATTTAACTTTGCTACATTAACTCAAGTTGAAATAAAGTTTAGTCTTACTTAAGTATATGATTTGTGGTCACTTACGAATTACATTGGACAAATGTTTCCAGAAGTCCTGGGTATGGTATTTCCTAAATTGGCTTGAACACTTTCAAAGGGAGACTTCAAAGTTTCTAACTCACTCATTTTATCTGCAGAGTAGAAAATTAAAGTTCATCACTTGAGACAACTATCAGAAGAAAATACCACGTTTTATTTCCTCTGCAGTTACTCTCAGACCTGCACCATGTAAAGTTATCAATTTTTTAATTTGGAGCAAAACTAGATGTACTTGCCACCTGGTTAAGCAGGGACTTCCTGTCTCTGTTTCGTAAACCTTAGTTTGTCAAAGACTTGAGGGAAACCCCTGGGAGTGAAGATCATCTCCCCCAGTGCACTGAACACCTGCTAACCCCTGACCCTTCCCTGTCATAGCTATAAGGCTCTATCCCTAAGCAGGATTTCCAAAGAACAGCAAGCAGTGTCCCATGCTTCCATCTTTTCAAAGCCAGTGTTTTAGAGATTCTGTGCTTTTACTTGTCTTCCTTTAGCTCATCTCTTTCCATTCATTCAAATTCCTCAACTTACAGAAGTCTCATCCTACTACAAGTTACAGAGGCTTATAGTATGGAGGTCAATACTGAACAAGGAACTGAATCACATCTTGCAACTAAAGGACTCCTCCTCATGCAGAAGAGGCCTTCATTAAGACAGTATAAGGCATTGTCATTAAAATTCCAGGTAAATAAGCAAGGTAAATACTTTTCAGTGAGAGTAATTATATAAAAAAGAGAAATTTAGAACTCATGTATTACCTGTGCTTGTGCCATGAAACATACCTCTGTACAACTGCTGTTTTGTGGGGATTTTTTGCAGATTTTATTGTTGCGACATACACTGATATCCTGGCACAGCTCATAAATAAAGTTACATGCACAGTATCCTGATTTTTGGGAACAAAAATAAGTGTCAATTCTGAACACCTGCCCCTTTGTCATTGAAACTACTGTCAGAAACAGCTTCAGCTGGTTCCCCTGGTTGGGGCACAGAAGTTGCCTTTGTGCATGTGGTCTGGCCTGTTGAACTCTCTCTCCAGTCTGCATTTCTGCCACTCTTGCATTTCAAATGGTAGAACAGAAATGACAGCACTCACCAGGGCCACCTGTATGTGGATGGGAGCTCTCATTGCAGGAAAAGAAAGTTCTCTTGTGGGGGGATTCCAGAGAAGTAAAGCTTACTACAGGTAAACTGAGTCATTTGTGTTGGGTAAGACACCATACTGGTTGTTTAGACAGATCTGAGCACATAGGTCCCTTCTGTAGTGCAAATACTATACAAATAGATGGGCAACAGCAGTACTGGCTGTTACCCATAATGCCAAACGTTGTATAATTCTTCCTTCGTTTTCATTCTGATGATGTTGGCAATATGTATGCTCACACTTCTGAAGGTAGATGTGGCATCACAGCAGCTCTGTTCCTGGAGTACAGATGAACTACTCAGTCTAGGGCAGGAGAGGAAGATGTGAAGAGGTTGAGGTGGTGGTTGTTAGAGCCAGGGCCCACAAGTCTGGATGTCTGGATTCCCACCACTGGCACGCAGTGATTGTACACTTCGGAGTTAGGGCCTGGGAACCACCCAAGCTCACAGGTACCTTGCTCCCCGAGGAGGCCTTTTCTCACAGAGGTGAGAGGTATTGCAAGGAGCTGGGAGGGAGAGAGATCAAAAATAAGTTATCTTGGTGTGGTAATCTAGATATAACAACCTTGACCGAGGTGCATCCTTTAATATCTCTGTGCTTCAGTTTAACAAATGCTAAAGAGAGTTGTCATTAGTGCAGGCCAAGGCTCTCCCAGCTTGTGGTCCATTGTCCCTGCTGAGCACATATGCCCAGCTCCACCAGCTGGGTATTTTGGAATGTTTACTCTTACACTTGCTATGCCAGTGGCTGCTGCAACCGTGTGGCTGTAGAGACTGGCACAACTGGCCCCAGAGGCTTCACAGGCATCCTGATCACCTGCATTGTGACCTGGTTAATCCATGCTTGTTTAAGTGCTTTCGGATTCCTCCAGGGATACTGACTGGTTTTATATATACATACAGACATATTGTGAGGTATTGCCTCTTATGTCTGGATGTATACATTCTGTATTACGAGAGTCATAATACCATTAAGAGTTCAGACTTTTGACCTGTGTAGCCAAAGTTCTGGTGGGGGTGGACTGAGAGCTTTTAAACAGGACCCTAAATGAGAGATTCTAAGAGCACCGAAAGACAAACTTCTTCCTCCTCTTACAGTCCCCAAAAAGGCAATAGTGTAAATGACATAAAAAAAAATAAAAAGTCATTCAATGCAATGCTGTGCAACAAAGATGACATGAATAAAGTTTGCAGGAAACCAGTAGATTCTGAAAAATCAAAATATAAGGTATTGCAAAGAGTTATTAATAAAACTGGGGGGGGGAGCAAAACTCAGAATTGTTAAAAGAAGCTGCTAAGCTTGGGGAAATTGCAATCTAAAAGCAAGGTGGATTAAGCAAATCCTTCTGTACAGAACCATGCTACAACTAGGAACCCTCTAACCATCACTCGGAAAAGCTTACGCTCTGGGACTTGATTTTCAGGTACATAATGCGAGCTTTAGTGATTGTGTCTGCATGGTACTCCCAGTTAAAGGATGCTTTCTTGTGCTTAAGTCCATTTCTGTTCAGGAAAGCATTTGAGCATTTTTTAAATAATATTCTTAAGTGTTTTCTTGAAGGGGAATGCTTTCCTCCCATAGGACATGTGTCTGCGTTCTTCATTCATTTTGGCATAATTTTCCCAGACTGGTGCAAGCAGGACCCATTGCAAAACTAGGAGGAGGATATGTTGGTGGCACGTGACACTGCAATTGTTCTGAAGTCACGATCCAGCTTTGTGAGGAGCCATCCCCAAGCGGGAGCGTGCTCCATCCCAGTTGCTTGGTTTCTTGAGGCGGCATTTTGAGGCACATAGGGGAAAGGGCAAGCTTCAGAGCAACAGAACTACCTGGATTGCAGTGGTTAGATTTAGAGCACATTTTTGTACTGAAGTAATACATAATCCATAGGTTTAACATGGCTCTCACAAATCCCAAGGGAGCACTAGCAGTTCTTAAAGGAGAGGAGTTGCAGAAAATTGTTTAATTCCCTTTCAAGAAAAGTCTGCTGACAAAGACTTTTGTTCTCCATCATATCTAAGTGCTCTGGGGACAGAAATTTTTCCAGTAGTGCTCTCTTTCAGCTGCCCCAAGATTGTCTTCTCCCTGTGCATGTAGCAGAGAGGACTCATTGGACATCATTTCCCTCAGAAAGAAATAAGGGTTTAAAATAAAAGGTGGTGTTAACTTTAACTATCAAGGTACTTACTTATTAACATCATTTTGGGGGCATAAGTTAAACCT